TGTGTGTGTGTGTGTGTGTGTGTGTGTGTGTGTGTGTGTGTGTGTGTGTGTGTAGCTGACATGGTCTCTCTCCATGTATCTACCTGGGATACCTCTGTTATGAGACTAACTTGTGGGCTCCTTTAATCTAAAATAAGGATTGGGGTCTGGTGTCTTACTCAACAGGAGTCTGCACAAATTCCTTTGTTAATTGATCTCAAAGCACTCTAAATTGGGTTTCATTTCAGGTGTACTGGAGGAAAGGTGGGAAGAGTTCCTCCTTAAGCCAACTAGAAGATAGAGGACTAATCCAGCTTCAGTCTTTATCCAGATCTTTGGAAGAATTGGCTGGTCCCCTTAAGGCACAGTATCCCACCTGCCCATCCCACCCAAACTACCACAATCAAATTTCTTCCAAGCAGCCCCTTTTGCTCATCTCTGTTAGCTTCTAAATTAAATCAGTTAGCCTTCTAGGCCCTCCTTTACTTCCGGCCCAAGGGCTCCACTGGAATACTCCAGCTCCCTCCCTCTCCCTTCCCCTCCACCCTACCAGAGCCCTAAGACAAGCAACAGGCCTGTTGCACTCACCTAGTCACTGCCCGAAGTCATTGAAGGAGGGAGGCTGCAAGAAGGGCAGGCAATTGTGACCCTAGTTCTTTGTGAAGAATGGAAGAGAAGTAGGAAGAGCAAAGAAGGGATCATTTGGAGCCACTGCTTCATGGGCCTCAGATAGACAGGCTGCTGGTTCCAGAGTGAGACTTTCCCCCCAGTAATTCTTTACCCTAGTCAGAGGTTTTAACCTGAGATCTTTAAAGTTTTTTTCCAAAATATTTTGATAACCATATTTCAAATATAATTGTTTCCCTTTGAAATCCTTGTAGTTTATTTTATGCATTTAAAAACATTGCTCTGAGAAAGGGTCCATAGGCTTCATCAGACTGCCAAAGGGGGCCAAGATATGAAAAAAGGTTAAGAACCCCTGCCCTAGTTAAAGCCCACTGCAAACTCTCACTTGGCCCACCAACATCATTTTCTTCTCATCTTTTCTGCTCTCCTTAACTCCCAAACCACATTATCTGGTGAAGGCTGCACACATATCCTGACTGGGACATATAACAATAACTCCAGTAGCAACAGGTTGGCCTCCGCCAGAACTCAGGGG